TTGAAAGTTGCTCATCTTGGACTAATCGATTATATCGATTGTCTCAAAATAGAGGAAATTACTTGAGATAATAAAAGTAGATGGTTTTGTAGAGAATTGAACGACGAATGTTTTGAAAAAAACATTAGGACGAACGAATGAAAATTGACCGAGATATGCAAGAAATATCGAGACCCTCATTCTTTATGGCCCACCCGTTACTCGAGAATGCTTCTGATGATAGTGACAGGGCATTTATATATCACCAACTTGGATGGTTGAAAACCGATCAAGGGGAATACCAACAAGCAGTTACTTTCTACAAAAAATCACTCGAAATCTACCGGAAAACGCTTCCAGAAGATGATGCTTCATTAGCGCCTACTTATGGTAACATAGGTCTAGTGTATGACAACATGGGTGAATACTCGAAAGCCCTGGAATATTACGAAAAATCGCATCAAATCTTAGAAATATCCCTGCCTCCGACTCATTCCGATTTGGCTAGTTCCTACAACAACATCGGTCAATTATATAAAAAAATGGAAGAGTACTCAAAAGCACTTCCACTTCTAGAAAAAGCACTCGGCATCTGGCGAAAGTCACTTTCTTCAACACATCCACATATTAAAAACGTGATGAATGCTATTGATCGTGTGAAAGAGAGGTTGTAAATGTATATTTTCTCTAGTATTTACTCAAATAAATTGCTTTGATAACTATTGATTATTTACTATTCACGCGTACGCGCGACCAGAAAGACCTGCCGCGCGCCCAGATACGGATACGCATAGAGCGGACCACGCCGGACTGATAGGGCAATGAACGTAAGTATCCCGTACGTACGACGTCAGGGACCACACGCGCATCATGCAGGCCTTCCCGAGTACTACACTACTTTGCCGCAACAGAGTGACACGAACAATCTATCTGGGTCAGGCAACGAAGCCGCTCTGACAGGCTGTCATATAACAGAGGATTAGGAAAAAGTAAAATAATACGAACCTCTCGTCAACGTATCATAGAAAATGAAAAAATAAATAATTCAATAAGTATTATTCTGGAACATTATTTTATATCTAAAATGAAAAAAAAAGTAATTAACATTTTTATTGTCCATTGCATGAAAAAAAGTTATTATTATTATTATTGTACTTGATTAATATGCACACAAATTTTAAACAAAAGAAAAGAAAAGAAAACATAGATAACGCGAATATGTAGTTTATTTATTTTAAATTAAAAAGAAATTGTTAGGATTTCTAAAATTGTAACTTACACCTCTGCTGAAACGAAAGAAAATAATTTGTTTCTTACAATATTTACTATAATAGTTATGTTTACTTGAAGCGAATATATAATGATTATGTGATACAGAAGCATCGTATACATACACATAACCCTTGATATATAATTACGTGTTAACCATTCCAAAAATCAGAATAGAAGATCTAGAACGGAAAACAAATGAAACAAGTAAATCAAATGAATAGATGATATATCGGAATATTTACATTTATTAATTCAAGCATCTATTGACTATTTCAATATTAATAATATTATTGCTGCTGATCGATGTGGTAAAGTCAACTTTGGTCGACAGGAAAAATGTCGAAAGAAATTTATAAAAATAAAATAAAAAGTGTAAAAGAAGGAGTGTTTTGAAAGATATTCGATGAATATGCTATTATTGTAGGCAGTGGCGGACCTACCAGTTAGGCTACCGGCCATCACCCCCCTCCCCCCCGGAAGCAACTTGT